AGAGGCTTCAACCGTATGCATGCCTACATCTGAAGCTTTTGTGAGGGGAAAGGGGGGTCTTGCATGATTCAGCTCTCTGATGGGGATTGTCAGAAATCCCACCCAGCTTCTCTCCACCCCTTGTTCTCATTCTCGTYTTCACCCCTTCCATTTGTCTCTGCCTCTTCTCCTTCCTCCTCTGGCCTTGCTGATGAGGTCCACTGGGACCGCCCTTCTCTGGCTTCGTTTCTTTCCCGTGTTCGTTCCCAGTTCCTTTCTTCCCTGATGCTGGGCTTTGTGCTCTTTCCCCATCTCTCATCCTATTGCTCTCTAGAACTAGGGATGAGATCGTCATGCCACCTCACAGGCTTTCACCAGATTTGGGAGCAGGATGGAGGGTGGGAGGGGCCAAGAAGATGCGTCCAGGTGCAAGGCTAAGCATGTGCAGAGGCTCAGAGGGGAAGGGGGAATCAGAAAATTAAAATCACTCCTGAAGTCCCGTTCACCCTGAAGTAAGAGCAGGAGAGGCAGACATGAAGCTGGAGATTTGGGGAGGAAAATGGATTTAGCCTTTATGACAGCAAGAAGTCATTGGCCTCAAGCAGGAAAGCAAGGTTATGCCAACTCACATTTTTCTTAGAGTCCTCTCATTGGATTCCACAAAATGCATGTGATGGGGCAAGACGGGAGGGGAAATCTGAGCCTGGAAGTCATTTCTATAATCTCAGARAGAAGGGGGAAATGTTGACTAAGGTTTCTGTGTTGGTGATGGAAAGCAATGACTGGTGGGAGGTATGTGAAAGGTAGAATCAACCAAACTGGATGGTCTAAGTTGAGGGAGAGGGACCAGTCTTTAAGAACTCCCAGGTTGACAATGGAGAAATAGCGTTCTGACAGCGAACTCCCAGACACGAGGCAGGTCCAGTGTCAGGAAGGGTTGCAGGTGCGATTTTAGTTATGTCTCATACTGAGGCTCCTGAAAAGCATCCAAATGCAGATGACTCTCAGATTATCTGCATGAATGAATTCAGGCTCACGGATGAAGGAGGCTAGAAGACAAGCCTGGAGATGTGTCTTGGGATCATTCRTTTATAGGTGGGAGCAGATAAGAACGCCTGGGGAAGGCCAATTGCCTCTGAATGTATTGTGTCACGTTAATAGCTGAAAACTCTCTGCTAAAGTGATCATCCTTGTGCCAGAAGTTGGTTCTGTCCAGTGACTTTCAAGCCCCAAGATGTCTCCAACTGTCTTTTCTGGTGTGCMGACAATTTTCCCTTTCTGCTGACTTTTCATTCATTCATTCTCCATTACCATATACAGCAGGCGCCCTCCCCCTCAGGCCCTGTCTTAGCAGTCTCCCCCCTGGTTCTCCCTTAATATGACTTTCTCCACCTTGGAAACGCTGCACCTTGTTGGATGAGTGAGCTTATCTCCTGGGGAAATGAAACTTAAATATAAACATTCAAATTCAGTCTTTCTGTCTTATCTTTCTCCCATGTCATCAAAGGCCTCATCTTTTTGCCATTGACACTGGAGCAGAGACCCTTCCCCTTACCAGGACCACTTCAAAAGTCTTTCACAAGAATTTTTTACATTGCAATTATTATGTCCAAGTTCCTGGCACAACCACAGAAAGTAGAGTGGAAATTATCTCCTTCCCTGACAACGTGCACTCCAACATGGTGACAGATGAGTTGCATGACTGCTTAGGTAAAAYTGGCAATCACTTGGGAATTTATTTAATGGTTCTGTCTGCATTTTCCATTCTCCCTCTCTTTATGTTCTATACMCAAGAAAACCTCACCAAGTCTGAACTCCTCCTCCTTATGTGTTTGTGTCTTCTTACAAAAGCAGCCAAAATCTGGGCCTGGTTTGTCTGTCTATACACAGGGGGTGTAAGGAGAGTGAATGGATGAATTGATAGATGGATGGATGGTGAATGGATGAATGGATGGATAGATGGATGGATGGATTGGTGGATGGATGGATGGATTAGTGGATGGATGGATTGGTGGATGGATGAGTGAATGGATGGATGGATTAGTGGATGGATGGATTGGTGGATGGATGAGTGAATGGATGGATGGATTGGTGGATGGATGGACAGATGGATGAATGGGTAGGTGGATGGAAGCATAGAAAAGAAAATGAAAGAATAGATATGTATGTTGACAGAAAAATAAAACTTTAGGTAGCAGGTAATTTAAATTCTTATTACCTTCTCTATCATAAGGTAATAACCTGGGCATGTCTTCTGATTCTCTTCCTTCATCCATTTGTAGAGAAGATTTCTGGGGCACTGAAGAGAGAAACAGGAACGTGACTAGTAGCTGAKGGTGACCTGGACACCTGCCTGGATGTGGTCATGCGAGGCTCTGATGTTCACAGTGCAGCGCTGCTGGGGAGGAAGGTGTGTGGCACTAACCCAGTTCTATTTCACTTCCTTTAGCACTTTCTAGGCCCCCTGGCCCCTTCTCCTCCTCTCTACCTCTCCTTTTTCTGATTCTAACCCTGTTTTCACACACCACTGCATCTGTACCATGAAGCTATTTGTGGATCTCTTTGACTCAACTTCCTCTTTTTGACTTGTGCCATCTCTCTGCATTTCTCCCTCTCTTCCTTGGTGATAGTCTTACCTCTTGGCACAATTATCTCCCTGTTTATTCTTTGAACTCCCTTCCATCTTGTCCCCCTATRTTCTGTATGTCATTATTCCTAACACTTCCTACCAAGGAAGTTTAAAATGATTCCTTTCTTCCCCATSTGCCTCCTGCTAGTCATCACTCAACACATCCTGACATTTCAGTCGAGGACAGACCTCACGTGTGACAATGATTCCTGGTGACACTGCAGCTGACCTCAGCTGTAAGTACACTTTCTGATGGTCATACAAGAAAGAAATCACCTAAAATCACATTTCTCACAACATATCCCCATCATTAATGACACCTGACTGCATTTATAGTCTCTATTTGTTTAGATTAAAAAGGGGCTACTGGCGGGGCTGGGGTTGTGGCTCAGTGGTAGAGCACTTGCCTGGCATGTGTGAGGCCCTGGGTTCAAGCCTCAGCACCACATATAAACAAATAAATAAATGAAATGAAAGATACATTTACAACTAAAAAATATATTTTTTTTAAAAAGGGGGGGGCTACTGGGGAAACTCCATTTGGTGCCCTTAGTCTACATTTCTATTACTCTCTGTCCTTGGGTTCTCCACTCAGAAGCCCCTTCCCCAGCTTGCCTCCCACACACCTGGGAACAAAGCCACAGGTGAACACAGGAGTGGGTTTGTGTGAGGGAGAGATGGGGGGAGGATGGAGATGTCCCTTTCATACAGATAGACARACACATCGGTGGGTTAGTCGGTGATTTAAATCATAATTACCTGCCCCGACACCTGGATGCCGTCTGTCTGTGGTTTCAGCCTCGCCTCCACTCCAACTCCAGAGAGCCTGGCACTCATGGAAAACTGAAGAAAAACAAGGAAATGACTAACCAGACCCAGGGAGGAGGGAAGAGCCCGGGCCTCGGTGCCGACTCTGGTGTTCAGTGCACAGGTGAGCTTCTCCAAGGWCCCCACCCAAGGTCCCCCAGAGCCTCACTCTCCCCGTTTCCCTTGCTCTTGTTCCTGTGCCTTCCTTCTCCTCATTTCCTGCCACATGCTATTGCTTCCACGCCAYGAGGAACCACAGCCCTGGGTCCTTGCCCCGCCCTGCTCCCTGGTCCTCTTTATCCGACTGTGTCTCGGCTTTTCCTCTGGGTTCTCTTCTTTCAGAGCTCTGGCATCCCACATGGCAGGTTCCACCCGATTGTCTCTGCTTTCCCCATCTTGGGACTGAATCCTCTTTTGAATGAGAGGCCCTCTGTGCCAGGCCCTGATCCACTCCCTGGACACCTGCAGAGCCCTGGATCTCCCTGCAACCTCTGCTCAGGGATCCCAGCCACCCCAGCCCTCACCAGCTTTACACCGACTCCGTCACCGTGAGTCATCAGGGATGCGGAGCTTGACAACCCTGACCTGTAACACGGGAGACCTGGGCACAGGGGCCAGGGCGGGGGCTCCCTGTAGTCCATGGRGAGTGTGATGGTCTGAATCTAAGTGTCCCCCAAGGCTGCTGTGTGTGGAAGACTTGGTGCTATTGGAAGGTGGTAGAACCTTTAGGAGGTGGGGCCTAGTGGAAGGAAGTTAGGTCAGTGGGGGCATGACCATGGATGGCCTCTCTCTCTCTCTCTCTCTCTCTCTCTCTCTCTCTTTCTCCTTCCCAGCCACCCTGTGGTAAGCAGCTCTTTGCTTGCTAATAAACTCCCCGCCATAATGTTCTGCCCTACCAAAGGCCAAAGGCACAGTTCTAAGCAACCATGGACTAAAAACTTGAGCCAAATAATAATAATAATAATCTTTTTTTCTATTTAAGTTGTTTATCTCAGGTATTTTGTCAAAGTGACAGGAAAGCTAACACAGAGAAGATCAGAGCCCACAGAGATATGCACAGTTCTCTCTGCAACTTTGAACTGGAAGGATCCTGGGTACAAAAGGGAATATTGACTTAAAATTAGTACCTAGGTATTCAATATCCTTTCTCCCTTTCTTAGAGTTGGATATATCATTGTRTGGAAATGAGGTAGCTCTTATTTTAAATCAAGGTATAGTTTCCAGAAACCAACACATTCCATTCTTCATACTGACTTCTAATTTTTTCCTACTTAAAAATCCTTTATTGCTTTTTTTATTTCCAAACAAAACAAAATTTAAAATTCCTCAGCACAGGGTGTATCAGGCCCTCCAAAATCGGCTTCCAAACCCACCCTCCATGATGCAGTCTCCTGGTTCTGAAAGTGTTCCCTCCCTGCCACACACTGAAGCTTTCACCAGCTGTTCCTTGTGACTTCTCTCTCAGGAGAAGCAAGTGGCATAGGACTGTGTGTCTATGAGCATCAGGGAGGGCTTCCTGCTTCCTCAGAAAGGGCATGGCTCATGCCTCCCCCTCTGTTTCACAGCCCCCAAGTCAGTCCCAGGGTTACTGGGCCTGGGTGAGCTCCGTGAGGACACAGGGCAGGTTGGTGTCTTCACCATTGTGTCCATGCCATGGTTCCTCAGCAAGAGTGAATGACGGGTGACGGGACTTGAACCCCAAACCCCACTGAGAGCTTTTGTTACCATTTAGGAAGCTTCTGGAAATCTCCACTAAGTCTGGGTAGGCGGTCAGATTGGTGTGGCTGAACAGTTCATTCAGAAGCGACAGGCTGAAGGTCTTCTCCAGCTCACTGAGGACGGTGTATACCACTGCGTTCACAGGGACCAGGTTTCTACAAGCTTCTTGAAGATGCTGGAAAACATGGAATGAGAATCAGGTCACTGTGGATTTGTGGATTACAGAAAACTCTTAGGTGGGTGCCTAGACCGTTCCTCCTCTCATGAATTGCAAGAATTTTGCATGTTTGGAGACTTCTTACGTAAAAATAGTCTCTTGGTTTTGTGACCCTGGCTCRCTGAGAGGTTGAGAGGAGAGCCGTTTTGAAGAATAAAAGTGTGTCCAAAGTCAAATGTTGTATGGGACTCTAAGAGCCAGATTGTGTGTGGGGGGTGTCCTATAGACCRTGAGAAGATGTTCTGGTGATTGGACAATGACCGCTGCTCTGCCCCCAGGACTGGACTGGCCTGAAAGCCTCCTAGAAACCAGGGATCACCCTCTCCTAGTGTGATCCTAGCCAAATGACAAGGAACGATTCTAAAGACAAAGAGGCAGCTTGTCCTCAGTATCCCCAGGGAGACCCAGTGCTAACCCTAACCTAGAGCTCCAGAAATGTAATGACTTGGAGAGAGAACAGCAAGCGTCTGTTTCCAAATTTATTCTAAAGTTGCCCTGTGAGTTGCAAAAATCTCATGCTCGAGGGTTTAAAGTAAGAGGGCCCACAATGAAGCAGTGCTGGGCTCCCTTAATCTACCTTTAGTTTGTGTTAGTATTTGCATAAAGTACCTAAGATGCTCTGCACTAGGAAGCATTCCTGCTCCCCAGCCTGCCCTCTCCCATCACCTCCCCACTAACAGTTACTGCAGAAAAAGCAACATTTTCTGTGATGCCTGCTTCTCCCACTGCCTCCCGACAGGATGGCAAAGGTCCCCATTGCCACCCTGAAGTCTGACATCATGCAGTGTGGGGCTGGTTTCCGGTCCTGAGGAAATTCCCCTGACTTACGTCAAACATCTGCTGGGAGATGAAGGCGCGGTCTCGGAGGCTCATGAGGAAAGGAAACAGCTTGGTTATTGCACTCGCAATCTCCACCTTGTTTTCTTTGAAATGCCTGAAAAGGTACTCATGCAAAAGCTGCTCCTCTCTGTTCTCGAGCTCCATCCTGGGGAGCTCTGTGGCCACCCTACGAAACAAAGATACGACAGATACTGAGCTTCCAAGAGGCTGGTGATGATTTTAGACATGCAGGAAGGTCGGTGAGAGCCAATGTGTGGAATAAGGGGTCATGCGGGAAGACCAGAACGAATGCATTTATTTTAGGGAACAATCCAGGGTGCAAAGGAAGAAAATGGGGGTCTGAGGAAAGACCTGTACAGGGCAAAAGGACTCACCCTGTTCTAACCAACACCAAGCTAAGCTCTTTAGAAAAGCATCAAATTGATAAATGTTAAGATCTTCCCTGGTATTGACGTGATACTATGCTGGTTGATTTCACATGTCAACTTGTGGGCGGGGGCTGTTTTAAAATAAGATGAGCATYTAAATTGGTGAACTAGGAGTAAGACTGTTTGCCTTCCATGATGTGTGTGGGCCTTGTCCAATCGAAGACCTAAATAGAACAAAAAGACCAAGTGAGAGAAACCAAAACTGCATCTGCCTGCTACCCACACCACAGAGTCTGGGCTTGCCGACCTTCRTGACTGTGAGAGCCGGCTCCTTGCCATAAATCCCTTCCTCTATATACACATCGCTTCTGTTGCGCATAGAACTCTAATACAGCATGTGTGTGTGTATGTGTGTG